CGCAAACCGATTGAAAATTTGGCTAGCCATTATCCGATCAAACGAAGCGTGAATTGTGCTATTGCTTCGACTTGGTTGGGTTGAATCAGCAGTGAGAATTCATCGACCCAACTAGGGATTGAACTCGGGACCTCAGTGCAACCGGGTGGCTGGTCAGATGGTTTTTCGTGTTGCCATTACATACTAAATTTTGATTATTGACTAAAGTCGATTAGAGCTAATGATATGCGTTTTCGAAATACATTTCGAAGTCTAATGAGACAGATATCTGTCAGGTTAAACTCTTGTGACATTTATCAATTCATGATTCAATGAAAAACATGTTGCAGGCCATCTGACTGAATGTGTTAGTCTAGCGGTGCAATGAACTTCACTCCGAAACGGGATCTATCATTAACGAAAAGGTGTGAATTTCGAATCTTAAAAACCTACAATGTGTACTCCATACTCATGCTGTTTGTTTTCATGTGTTTCCAGAATGTATTTAACAAAGTAAAGGTATTAGACAAATCTTATTTTATAATAACTAATCCCTATAATCATCTGCACGTGATGACACTGTAACCAGATCCTACTGTGATATAAAATTCACTTCAACATTTACTTTGGGATTGAATGTAATTCAATTGACTTACCGTGCCATCCTTCATTTTCACGGTGATCGTATCTCCCGAGGTCTCGACAATATCAGCCATCACATATCCCTCTTTCTCATCTTCAACCCAGATCACATTTTTCGCGTCGAAAGATGCTTGTTCTTTGAGCAACTGCTTCCTGTCAACACCCAAATACTTGAAATCTGGATCAGATGGATCCATCTGATCCAGATTTCAAGTATTTGGGTGTTGACAGGAAGCAGTTGCTCAAAGAACAAGCATCTTTCGNGGATCCATCTGGAGTTCGGTGGGATTTGCCACGCCCCCCGGAGGTCAGCAATTCAATCGGACCGTACCGATACAGGTTAGGTCAAACGTGTGTGTTTGTATGTATATGAAACGAGAAGAGGGAGAGAAGATGAAGTATGAGATGAAGTATGTATACAGTGTTGGTGACTGCTCGCTTGACTTAAATGTGTGTGCGTGTGTCTGTGTGTGCATGTGTGTGCGTTGGATGTACTGTATGAGTATGAGCACACGTATTTTCAAGACACGA